GAGAGAGAGAGAGAGAAAGATTCTGGTATATATATATGAAAGCTCTACCTCATGATCTCAGGCTGTTCCTGTTGTGGATGGAAATGTGATCAGAGTGATTGCTAGACTAAAGGCCATCTCCTCAAATCCCAAAGAATCCACCACTGTGAAGGGCTTCTGGTGAGTCCAAAATTGCTTTCTTTCTTAGCCAGAAGAAGCAAGACGAGAAGAATTATCTCATGCACTCAAAAGCTTGATGATTCCAATTTGATATGGGTATATGATGAGAGAGAGGGTACAAGCGTAGTTAGGGTCCAAGGCAGATATTTTTTATCGTCTTGAGCAAGATAGAAGGACCACACTTCTTCTGATTGCATAAATTTGTCCATTTATTTTCACAGGAAGCTAGCTGGGCAATTGGTTGATCCTGAAAGGCCAGGAGACTTTAATCAAGCTTTGATGGAACTTGGGTCAACCCTTTGCACACCATCAAGCCCATCATGCTCTTCATGCCCAGTTTCCAAACGGTGCCAAGCACTCTCCCTCTCCAAAACACCAAACTCTGGCAAAGAGATTTTGGTAACTGATTTTCCAGTCAAGGTCTCAAAGGTGAAACAACGAGAAGACTTTGCAGCCGTATGTCTTGTGGAGATAACTGAGAAACTCGATCTAGAGAGCTGGAAACTGGAGAGTGAGAAAGACATTTTCCTTATGATAAAAAGACCAGATGAGGGTTTACTTGCGGGCCTATGGGAATTCCCTTCTGTTCTTTTGGATGAGACAAATATGGGGCTATGTACTAGGAGGTCAGCCATGAATAAGTATCTGAAGGGAACATTCGGTCTAGAGACTAACAGGAGTTCAAGGGTGATTTTTAGAGGTGATGTTGGAGAGTATGTTCATATTTTCACACATATTCGACTCAAGATGCATGTCGAGTTGCTGGTTCTGAATTTGAAAGGTCAGTAATGGTTTATGATCTATTGATTTCTCTGGGAAAATTCTTTGATCAAAGTCTGCTTAGCCATTGATTGACTTGGCCTTTATGCAATGAGTTTCTTCTTCACTAGAGAGAGAGAGAGAGGAAAATTTTGGTGATATTTATGGTAGTTCTATTTTGTGAAGGTGGGATAGATACTTCAAATGTCAAAAATGATTCGCAAGGGATTTGCTGGAGGTGTGTTGATGAAAATTCAATCAAGAACATAGGTTTAACATCTGGAGTTCGAAAGGTACAGCCTAGAGTGCAAAATGCTCATTATGCTGAACAATAGGTGTTTCATGTGCTCTGAACAATATCTATAGTTTTGGCTTTTTCAGTTAATCATTTTCATCTCACTAACCTGGGCTGTTTGTCTGTTTTTTTATTCGACCATGTTTGCATCAGGTTTATAATATGATTCAGGATTTTAAAAAGAAAGGGCTGCTCCAAAACCCAGTTAGAGGACCAAAGAAGAAAGACGTGTGAGAAGCAGGTTCAGGCTACATTGGAATTTTGTGGTTTATATATTCATTTCTTCGAATTTGTATTCAGAAATCAAAGTGGACTGAGTTCCAGATCAAATTCTGGATCATTTTTTCACTCTATGGAGTAAAATTATTTTGATTAACTAGTTAGAAAGGGTGAATTGTCTCTGCTACAGTATATTCATTGGTTAACATCAGAGTGTGTACTTAGGGGCTGTGGGATGACAATTAATTCAATCATGAATCTATGACGATCCAAATCCGAATATTCAGTATAATAGTACTATGTTGGTTATTTGGTAGGTATGTTATAATACTTTTTTAGCTGTTTACACTGACCTCCAAAACCAACTTAGCTCTCTCCTTTAGAACAAATAAAGCAGCTAAATGTATAAAGAACAGAAAACTAAGTTTGAGCATTCCAATGCAGAGATTTAGAAGCCATTAAAGCTTAGTCGACGACCCTCTCCTCATCATAATTTTGCCAATTAATTCATTCTCTAAAACAAAGAGAAAGGGGGCTTCTTTCTCCTGTAACAGAGAGAGAGATTTTACATGTTTATTAGAGGATTATATGTGATTTTGATTTGGAGACTTAGGGTTTCTGGTTCAAAAACCAGGAGAAAAACTGTACCATTTTTTCATTGAATCAAGTTTTGAATCCACATTGTTCATGTGATCTTGAAATGCAAAATTAAGGCTTCGGGGTGAGAAGTTGTTGCAGAGGAAAAGGGCTTTCTTGATATTTTTCCACCTACAAAAGGTGATCTATTCTTGAATTAGTGTTGTTCTAGAGAATTTGATTCACAGTCAGGACTGGAAAAGGAATAGCTCAAATCTGAGTTCAGAGGTCTAACGCTCAATGACATCATAGTCGAAGGTTAATGTGCCATTGATTGAACTAGTTATTTAGGGTTTCCTCTTTTTTTCATCTATATGTAAAGCTTTCTTGTTAGGAGGAATGTAGACTAAACCTAAGAGAAAAACAGCTGCAGAGAATGGAGATGGAGGTAATGAATTGTCTTAGGCCACTGCAATTGGTAATGGCAAGGATATGGCCCTAATTGTTCGCCAAGCTTTCAAGTTTAGGAAGCATGTTTCCTTACTTTTATGGTTGAAATCCTTTATCAAAAAGAAAGGAGTCAAAACTCAAAGCAAAGACTTTTGCAAACTCCATTATGAAAATTCATTCCAGTGGCTGATGATCTTTGAGGGGTTTTGATGGGATTGAGGATTTGCAAAGGGGGCATCATGGAGAAGAAGTAGAAGTTGAAAGAGAGAGAAAGAGAGAGAGACCTTATCTCGGTTAAGATTTTGTTTGACCTCTACCAGAAGAAAGAAACCGTTGTTATTCGGTGTAAAGATGAAGGGATTGTATACTATGAGATCATTGATTTTTGGTACAAAGAGGTGACAATCACTTTTAGCCATTGGATGTGTAATCCAATAGATGAAAGTGTGTCACAATGTTTGAGAAATTTTATTTTGGAATTTATGCCCAAACAATGACAAATCCTCAACCACCTGATTTCAAATCTAATGGTCAATGATGATTGTGACCTCCTTGTGTCAAAAGTCAATGGTCTCATTGTAACATTTCCAAAGATAAAACATCCTTTTTTGGTGGTATATGGTTAAATGGGATAAGGCATAAAAGCCTATCATGAGGATCTATTTACATGCACCACGAAACAATATACAGGTGCTTTTGCTAACTTAATCAGGATCATTATGATATGTTGTGCATATAGACACGCCTATAGTTTCTAAATGGGAAAATATCCTATTATCCCCTATTTTCAACTTCTATATCTCATCAAACCAAAAAATTGAAAATATTACTTGTAAGCAAAAGGACTCCATCTTTTCTATCTTTCAACCCCATAAACCCTTGTGACTATGTATTATTGACCTCAACAACTTGTGAAATGACTATATCTTTCTCTCTCTTAAACTCTATGTCTCTATCACATCATCGTCTTCTCTCTCAAAACTCCATCTCTCTGTAAAACCCAAACTCCATCTCTCTCTAAAACTCCATCTCTCTTTTACACATAAGAAGGTGTGCTGGTGTTCGAGCACAAGCTAAACTCCTTGGCAGGTAAACTCACCGAGACGCAAAGAGAGAGATAGAGTTTTAGAGAGAGAGAGAGATGGAATTTGAATAGGGTGTCATTTTAGTGTTTGTTTGGGTCAAAAATTTATGGTCAAAGGGGTCCAGGGGGTTGTGAGGTAGAAAAAATAAACACATTTTGCTTTTACAAATAATATTTTCAATTCTTGGGTCTCGTGAGATATGGAAGTTAAAAATAAGAGATAAGGAGATATTTTCTCTTTCTAAATCAGTTGACAAGGAATGAATGCATGCCCCTCAATAGTGTAGGGTGACAAGGATATTTGCTATAGATATGAGGAAACACCGGTTTAATGTTTTCAAAAGTACAAAGATCTTATGGCGAGCACAACAAAGTACTGAAGACAAATCATATCTGGTTAGACAAATGACAGAACTTATTCCACTGGGAATACTATGAGATTAAACCAACCAAGCTCAATGCAGAGAGAGAGTTAAAAGTATATTTTCTCCTTTCTTGGTTGAATGTAAGCTAACGGAAATCTATTTTATTCAACCACTCATTCAAAAGAGGTTCATTACAGAATTGGCTTCAAGTTCATATGTTCTAAATTGTTTCATTCAAGCATAGACATCATAAATATAACCTTTTGTTTTTTCTTTTCAGATGAATAAATCAAACGGCATTTCCTACATGTAACTCAACAGAGATCATTGTGTGAAAATCTATTACAAGTCATACCTTAGCCACGAAATGGAGTGAGGTCAATCTTGAATGGTTGTTTTCCTTTGCTGACCCTCTTCCGAATAACAAAGAAAATTACATATTAGTGTTGGGATCCAAGGATATTGGCTATTAACTAACAGTTTAAATGGATAGACTGCCTTACTGAAATTGCAATGAGCTCTTCAAGTAGCTCCTCCAAATGGCACAGAGGCTACGCATAGAATAAAAGATTTTAATGTATAATTCAGTGTATGGAAAATCTTGCTTGAAATATTTTATAAAAGAAAACCAGAACAAGATTAAAATCTTTCAGTTTGTATTGCAATTGATCCTTCTCTAAATACTATTATCTAAATTTTGGAAAAGGAGAAAATTATTAAGAAGTAGAAATTTAGAATTATGATGAACTTCAGCTTATGCCATCTAAATTTCTCGATCAAGTTTCAGAAATAACTGCTCTCCAGAACTAATGAGGCACCAGTTCTGAAGTTTGAGAAATTTCGGCTGGTATTCAGCATTTAAGTCCTAATGGCAGCTGATATAAGAAACTTTTGAAGGTACCAAAGCTCCAAATTTCAGCCACAGCTTCCAATGACATTCGATGCTATAAACTATTAAGAGCTCTTGAAGACACCCACCCACTGTGTTGGACCATCAACTGGAGCATTCAGCGGATCATCATGTACCTGACCAACAAAACAACAAAAGTTACTCAGTTTACTATGCTATTGATGTGACAAATATGGCTCTATTTAAAACTTGCCTAATATGGTCATTTTTTAAATTCCTTCCTTAAAAACTCATGAATTTTTCATAAAGCAACAGTTTATACAATGGGATGGTATAACGTCCACATGATGTGGACACTTGAAGGGTGCATAGGCACCCTTTGACAGTTTAGATCAAACCTAACATCATCCAATGGCCCCAAATTACTTTCGTTTTTTTTTTTCATTTTTATTTAACAATAATATTTGTCTGAATTTTGGAGTATAGATCTATTTTTACATTGTGCACCAAATAAAAATTAATAAAAAGTATTTTGAACAAAAAAATTGGCCAAAATACCCTTGCAACAATTCAGAGCATTCTGGTCATTTTTTGTTCAAAATATTTTTTTTTATTCTTGTTTAGTACGTCACTTAAAAAATGCTTCAGATAAATATCATTTTCTAAACAAAAAATGGAAAATAAAAAATAAAACTCTTTTGTGGCCGTTGGATGTGGCCATGTTTAACCTGAATCAGTAGAAGGGTGCTCGTCCACATCATGTAGACAAGAGACATTCCCTTATACAATGCCCCATGGTTTTCCTATTTCTTATTTTATCTATGTGGACAAGAAAATCAAGTTGATAAGAACTCAAAAATAAAATATTTTGAGATAAATTTTCTTTTATTTTTCTAATATTTTAAAATTTTCCTTTTGGCACGCTTTGCCCTTTTTTAACATTTCCCTGATAATTTCTCAATGGAAAACAAAAATTATAAGTATCTCTTGAGAAATTACACTGCTAAGAAATTGCTGAGAATGAGAAATGGTTTGTCACAAATTAGGAATTTAGCTACTTTTAAGCAAACTTGAGCTAGGATTACTGCTTCTTGCTCTCTCAGAGAACAAGAAGAAATTAGCTTCTTAGATGCCTCACAACTTTTGGGACCACATTTCCGAAGCAATGCTCCCAGAAATTTGGAAACTGTATACTCTGATTTCTGAACATAGCAACCCTAGTTTCGAAGCAGGATTTTTAATAATGGGTTCACGATTCACAAAATACAAGAAATTCAGCTTTAGTATTAACATGTGCATCATAAAACATTTTGAATTTGGATCATCTAGGTAAATGTTGCTCAATACATCCATTTATTTGAATAGGGTTATGTGGTATGCTTAGTGAAAATGGAGAAACACATTATCAGCGCAACTTGAGACAAATCATACCAGTAGATAACTACCACACAATTTCCAGTTTCTTCTAACAAAGAACTAATTTAAAAGCATATTAAAATTTTACCTCCATGAAGATACCATCAACCCCAACTGCAACTGATGTCCTTGCAATACAGGGTATGAGTTCACGAAGACCGCCACTTGCAACACCACCACCATCTAGCTGTTTACGAAGGAAGAGTCAACAACTGGATGTGAGTTTTCCCATTAGTTTTGTATCCTTTTAGGTAGTCCCTCAGAACCATTGCCAGTACCAGTCGCTAATTAATTAAAAGTGAGTTTCTTTAACCCATGTGTAAAAGAGCTTTTCTACATTTATGATGGGTTTCAGTCCATATTTTGGATGAAATTCAAAATTAGAGTTCCGTCAGCATGTGTATTGGGAATTGGAAAAAAAAAACGAAAAGAAAAGAAAAGAGACAAAGGATCAGTGTTCCCCCTGCCTCATACACTAGGATGATCAAATCCATCTACTCAACTCAATCGAATAAGATTTAATTTGGAGCACCAAAAATGCTTCAAATCCACTGACATCCCAAAATCTGTTCTGGATAGCTCACTTGAATATACAGTGGATTTGAGGGATTTGAATCTCCAAATCAATTCTTATTTTTAGGAGACTGGTTTGGGAGACTTTGGATCTTTTTGGGATATCTCACCCAATCCAAACTGGTGAACAATAACCTATCCGTCCCCCACCCCCCATCCCCCCAACAAACACGGAGGATTCATAAAAACGATTATTTGCAGATTTCAAAAATAATTGATATTTTGATGTGAGAAATAGAGATGAATTCCTGAACTGGACCAGTTCAAAATGTACTGGAATCCTCACACGACTTCAGTATCAGCTTACCCAATTTTAATAACATTGGTTGTCATACCTTTTTGCCTGCAGGCTGCTGTAAGGAATGAGTAATATCTGCAACCTGCATTTAGTGAAAATTTAAAAACTTATTAAAGTTTGATTAGTTAAAACTTGTTTCAGCAATCGTAAAGATAACGGAAATAACAACTATGGAAATGCAACTGTAAAAGTTCCAATAGTTCACTTCAGAGGAGTTAACAAATATATAATCAACTCAATCAAATAGTATTTTTTGCTGACCCATTCAATCAGAGATGTTAATCCTAGAATCATGTAAAATGAAAAAAAAAAAATCTACTGCTACATATTGAGCTTTTACTGTACGAGATTGGTATTTTAGAATCTAATAACCTATGCCGATGCTTTCATCAAAATATATATATTTCTGTACTAGTTCATTTGTAAGGGACACATTGTATAAAACTTCCTGCTTTTCTATGAACACATTACAACAATTCCTGCTGCTATCCTTCAAGGAGTTTCCAAACTGTTTCATATAATTAATCCAACACTTCAGTTTCTGTGAGTGTATGTGTATCTTGGTTCAATGGTATCACAACTATAAACTCTTCCCCCTCAATCTATTAGGAATGAAATGCATGAATGTAACCAATTCGAACTAATTTAACAAAGAATGCTATCTAGAGCTTCATTTGTTTCTTGATACCCAGTATGAAATAGAATTTTAGTAGGCTGACAATGGTGTGTACAAAGTGGGCGGATGGAGAAAGTGAAACAGAATTGATTAGAAAACTGGAGAAGAAGCTATGGATGGAATGCATGGTCTCACAAAAAATATCTCCAAGCTGATGTGTTTAATTCCAACTGCTTACCTACTTAAAAAAACTTCTCCTAGCTGGCACTTGATATTATCTAAAAACCATGCAAGAAAAATTTATCTTTTGTTATTATCATAACTGCTATGTGCTCAAATCCTTTCCCCTTATGTCACTATTATCCATCATTTATTTTAACATTTAAGTGGTTGATTTTACATCCGTATGGAAGGAAGTTTAAGTTGGTGCACAGCATACCATGGGATGCATAAGGATTAGCCGAGCCTTAAGCTATGAAGGCGTATTAAAATCTTAGCATGAGAAAAAAAAAAACCTTATCAACCAGAAATTTTAACCAGAACATTGTTTGAAGCGCTTCTATTCATGAACAGTCTAATACAATTAATAGGCAAGATATTAGCATATTTAACTCACAACAGGACAATTTGCTTCTCTCATCCACTCCAAGTTGCGGGGATCAACAATCAAATCATCTGCATCAAAGGTAAAAATATGTTTCGATGTATGTCAACATTGAATAAACCAAGTTGGATTCAGACAACACTAAGTATAAGCCAAGAATGGTGTTGAATGATGAAATAATGAGCTCCGACTACGAGTACTGTGATGGCACAGAGAAAGCCAGATGGGGGAGGAGAGATGGAAGTGGGCAACAGTAATAAAGCAAGAAACACTCATGCTAAAAGGCTTGAACTATGGCTGCCATGGTCGAAACCTTGCCATCAAGTTATTAGGAGCTTAAATACTAGGTACTTGTACAAATGGCAAAAGACCCGAAAAAATAGAAAATAGTCTAAAAACTTCCCTTGGTATCATCTTCTATACTAAAATATACAAGGACCTAGGTAGCAATATTAGTTGTTCCAAGTTTATTTACAAAATTTTCATTTCTGAATTCTGAGCAAGTTCTAATCAATGTGCTCCAAAAGAATACAAGAAAGAAAGCATTTAGGAAGATCCTCATCCATTTTCCCCAGTAATCATATCCAAACACAATTAGGTTCTAGCTAAAAAGGCATAAAACACCCACATGATAAACTATTAATCATACAAAGTTTCTCACCAGATATCAAGCTATCATAAGATTAATACAAGGTTCAACTTGTTTCAACTTCACGCATAAGGATGTGCCAATTTTCAAGTACTCACCAAGTACTGAAACTTTCCAATACTACAACATCCAAATAAATAAATAAAAAAGGATCATAGATAATGTGCAAATCCAAACAAGATGCAATTTAGTTATGGAAATCAAGTGGGAATGATCACTAAAGGATTTTCACTTGATCAACCAGTCATTCTGTTCCGTTTAAAGCAATATTTTATAGTCTATCATAAGTCCACTCTTGATCTCAGTCACTGCCAAGTCCACTCAGCTCAGTCACTGCCAAGTTCTAAAGACTTGGCCAAGTCTTACCAACTCTTGATCTCTTCTTTTTTTCTTTTCTTTTTTTTGTATGTGTGTGTGTAAGTCATCCTAGTGTTAGTGAGTCCTACTGAGTAAAATAGGCTTGGAACAAGGCCAAAGACCAAGCTGCTTAGTCAAGTTCAGGGGCAATAACATCTAAAACCATGTGTGACTATAATCAATCCTGCACATTAAATTAAGAGAAACATGCTTTTAGAAAAGGGGTATTTTCGTCAAAGAAAGTTACTCTTTTACTTGGGGGGTTGTTGCAAAAAAAAAGTAGTTTTCGGGTTAGTAGTGTGGTTTAAAAAGTATTAGGGGGTGGTATGCCTAGAAAGTTAAGTCAAGGGGGTTATCTATAAGCTTCCCTTAAATTAAAGACAAACGAGATGCAAAATAACTTACTATAGCCAAACATGGTGCCCCGCTCACAAACCATTACATTTTGATTCCCTGCCAATCGAACCTTTTCTGCAGAATTTACCATGACCTGCCCATACATCACTTCTAAGGTCCTTGAACGAATATAAAATAAATATAATATAAAATAAATAGATAACTCATATATAAAAATCATTACTTTCAAACCTTTTGTAAGATCACTTCACCATTACTGTTAAACATAACCCAGATGTATTATTCATGAATTTCTTTAGAATTATGTCATTCTATGTGCACCATTAACTAGGGACAAGCAAAGTAAAGTGCATAAGCACTGAGCGAGCCAAAGAGCAAAACAAGTGCTTTTCTGTGTAACATCAAAGCACTTTTGAGGGCGGCAAAGCACTCGTTTTAGAGTGGATGTAAACAGCATGTCCCTTCCATCCTAATATTAACTCAATTGACCTCATTAAATATTGGTGTATGGTAGTTGCAAGGACTGAGTCATCTGGATACTATCTAATAACTAAATCCCTATGGTTCCAGAAGTCTACCAAAAAAAACTATGAAAGAAAATGACAGAAAAATAAAGGACGTCAGCCAATGTTTGAGCTGATCAACACGCCAATTCAACTCTTGTTCTCTCAAAACAAATCTCTCCTTTAAAAGGTGTTTGTCTAAAGCAGATAAAAGTTGCTTGACTTGGATAGTTCTTATCATTTCTCTTTTCTTTTTTGTGTTCATATCAAAATTTTCAATCCCCATATTAGTGCCCCTCCTAGACAAAATTATCGAGAACACAAATTTGAAAAAAACGAATGTATAGATTTTGTAGCTCCAAATAAGAACCACCGTGGCACTTCTGCACAGAAGAACCTCAAAATGGATTCCCTTTTAGGGCTTGAGACTGCTATTTTTCTTTAATTATTACTTGAAAATTTTGGAAGTATTAGACATGACAATTATGATACATAAAATCTATGAGAGGACTACAATACTCATGTCCACAGAAGCAAAGCAAATATAAACCATTCTGAAGAATACTACTGATATAACATCAACTGAGTACTTACAGAAGGAGCACAAAATTGGCCTTTCTTAATATTGACTATTTTCCCAGTCTTTGCAGCTGCAACTAGAAGGTCTGTCTGTTTGAGTGAGACATTTTTGGATTAGTTAAACAAGTTGTGATGAATAAATTAACCCCGAAGCAGCAGTTTAGTTTCCTTTTGCTCAAAATCACAAATAAGAAAGTAAATATAGCTGTGGGATAATTAAATTTCAACTAAAATTAGAAATAGCTGTTGAGAACTAATATGAAGTTGTGGCAAAAAAGTATGGAGATCTCAACAACCTGGCGACATAGAAAAGCTGGAATCTGAATGATATCAGCAACCCTCCCAACAGGTTCACACTAAAAGAAAATAATGCATGTCAGAAATAAATTCATAAAAAAATCCATTTCGAGCAATTATCCTGCATTATTAATTTACTGTCAACATGAAACACATACAATCTTCTAGACCACGTATAGAACTATATCCACAGAATGAGCTAATGATCTATCTCACCTTAATGGTGACATACGACCCTGTTAATGGGGTCCTTTTTTGTATACTTATTCCTTACTCTTAATATAAGTAATCACTTCTCAAAAAAAATCTGTAAAAATAATAACCCTATTTTAAAGCATTTTGGAATTCTTAGTCTTAAAATAAGTTGGAATAAGCCTACCAATAAGAAGAAACAAGAAAAGTTAGAATCCATCCCAAATGTAAAGTAAATAAGGTTATGTGACATGCACATGTTAAAGATCTTAGCTTAAATAAGCTGAAAATTGGACTTTGCCAACTAACTAGACACCTGAGTAGAGTAGTATCCAAGGTTCTGCATCTGAGTTTTGAAGAAAAGGAATCGATTAAAGAGGACAAATAAATAAAAGAAAAATTTTATATAAGTGCGAGGCTCTACACAATCAAATTAGAGAGCACCACAAAAATTTCACTAGAAGAGGTTGTTTTGAAGCCCAAATATCCTCAAATCGATCATCTCGACCTCAAGATGCATGGACATGAGAAAAAAAATGGAATTCAAGTTTTGGAAATAGTGCATCTTGTAATGCATTTTTTGGACCGTCAATTTTTCAATATTTTCAAGTTTTCATAGATCTGCTCGATCTATACTATTTTTGAAGGTTTAGATTTTATAATTAGAGATGAAAATATATTTTAAGGCTATCACAAAGATTTTCGGTATTGAAACCACATTTCTCGACACGTTTTGAAGGTGCGCTTTACTTTGATTGTTTAGAGCCTCGGCTCTATACAAACTGCACCCATAAATAAATGATGCAGAAGATTAGACTTCGGGAGAATAATTTTAGCTTTTTTTGTTTTCTTTCTCGAGTGGGTGGGTGAGCGGGTGCGTGTGTGTGTGAGGGGGGGAGGGGGGGAGGGAGGAACCCCAGGTTACATAAATCTTGAAAAAAATAAACAAGGACACGCACATCTTTTTATGTGCTTCAGATAGAAATCCAAGTTAACTTTGGTCTGATTGTTGCAAGAATGCCCTAACCAAAACGATCAATTTGATTTAAATAATTAAAAAAACCTGAATTACAACATTAAAATTTTGAAAACAAACTTACCTGGCTTGCCTCGTGCACATCTGTCACAATAGGAAGATCAAAAGTCATCTTGACCTTTTGAAGGATCTGCATTGTCATGGATAGTGAATTCATCAGACTATTTTTACAATTAGATATGTATGTAAATTTCCTATTGTAGACATAATTTCCCTGGCTGAGAATAGAAAATGCGACAGCCATCTTTCAAGAACCCAGAGACATAAGAGCATGGTGCATATGACAAGAATCAAGTGTCATATAGTGTGCTGCCGTAAACTTCTCAATGGTGATACAGGCTTTACCATCAATCACAAATTGGAATGTTAGTGTCATAACTAGCATAGAGATTTTGGAGATCATCAGATCATAACAATTTGATACTGCATATTACGTGTTAGTACATAAAAATACAGATTAGTGTGTTATGGTATCCAACTCATTAAACTTTGATACTCTTCCACGTTGTTTAGTCAACGTTTAATACTTAATTTAATGCATCAACATTCAATTGACGTATTAAAAACCACAATAAATGCTTTCATCGAGTCAAAGTCACTGAAATCTTCAATTTAGATAATCATATTTCCAACAAATGCATGATTTTTCTTTTTTTCTTTTTTTGAAGCAAGCTCGACGAAGAAAGGCTATAAAGGCAAGCGGGTGCATATATTATTGATGTATCATGTAAACAAGCTAGTTTTGACACCTATTTTGAATGTTAAATCTCATCATCATCATCATCAAGCCTTTTCCTAAATTATTATGGTCGGCTACATGAATTCCAGTCAGCCATTCAGCTCTCTCAAGGGCCATAATACTCTCAGTGAGGCCATAATTCCCCATATCTTTTCTCACTACTTCCAACCATATCTTTTTAGGCCTACCTTTTGCCCTTTTTTAGCCAATAGGTTGTAAGATCATTTAAACCTTAATCAGAATGTTAAATCCAATAGAAATTATACCAATGGGCTGTAGGATCATCTAAACCTTAATCAAAATTAACATCATCAGAAAATGTAGAATTGCACAAAAGCCTGGCCCGTCATATTCATCCGTGCAACTATGCATTAGATAACACCAACCAGAATTCCTTAGCCCCTAGTAAACCAGCATCAGTACTACGTATTGGTACCCATACCCATATTGGTGATTTGGAACTATATAAAAGTACCTAGAAAATTGGCCTACTAAGTAATCAAGAGCTTGCCTAAACTGAGGCCATGGACTCAGTTCGATGACTTAGACCAATTTTGGAATATTTACCCTTTCTTATTGTCATGATGGGGTCCCTCACCATCAACCACTAGTGGCATGATGGTATCATAAGCTCTTGACATCTTAGAGTTCATTTTATCATATCAAAGACATTAATCTTCTCTCCATGTCCATAGGAATGCTAAAGATAAGCGTACAGGGAAAGTAACAACTTGATTTATTTATTTATTTAGAAAAGGGAGAAAGTAACCATTTGATATGTGGTCAATGGTCCCTTCCACAAGTAAAATGTGCTCTATACAGTTATAGTAGTATTGCAGCTTACCCAAAACAAAGTGTTGCAATGTCAAGATCAGTAATTCTAATTTACAAACAGGCATACTCAAACTTTTAAATTCCTGGAAAGAAATGGAGAATAAAAAGGATGGGTGGAACTAGAGATATATCATGAATTCTGACGGTAAGATCCTTTTGCACATAAAAGGTCCCTTTGGAACCAATTCAACAGCAAAGACCTCATAAATTACGACTTCATGAGAGGATATACAAGGAACACTTCATTTAAGGGCATTCCTTTCAAAAAGCAAAACGAACCACATTGAAGGGATTGCATTAGAAGATTTCATAGTTGGAAGAAAAATTCCTCACAAAGAGAGGCCTACTTGTTTCTGAAATAGTGCACATATTAATGTTGGGAATATTATTCCAGAGACAAGGACACCAGTCAGCTTCCCAGTTGGCAGGTTTTCAGGTTAACTTGATAGAATTCTGCATAGAGAAATAGCGAGCAAAGTTCTAAGACTAACTTGATGTAGATTATTGATGTTTAACATTATACATTATGTTTAGTAACATACACACAATCAATCATCAAAAATAAAACAAGTTGTTCATGAACAGCAAGGTACCAAACTCATCACTAAAAGCAACAATGCATACAGAGTATAAATTTTTATAAAATGCTGGTGAACACAACTACTGCATGTGTGACTGCATGTATATAACGTTCCTTTGAAAGGCATTCAAATGTGATGCGTATAATCATCATAAATGTGCAGAACGAAAAATATAAGTTCAAACTATGAATGGAAAATCTACATACTATTTTTGCAGCAATTAAACCAGCTGAAGGGAAATTATGACCTTCAAGCCTTCTTCTAGGCCTGGACCACGGAATGATTTTGACGATGTACGATTAGCTTTGTCAAAGCTGGATTTGAAAACCAACTGCACCCCAAGCCTAACAATTGAGGAGAAATATTGGCATCAACAATCTCAAATTGAGTTGCACTTTGCATGAGCATGTCTTAAGATACGCCACATGGCCCTATACTTACTTTGAGGTGATGTCCTTAATATGTCCAGCCATCTTCAGAACATGCGCCTCAGATTCTATAACATTGGGACCAGCTAAAAGGAAAAATGGTTCTGCCGCCTGCCCACAATTGATACAAACAAACTAGCTAGCCTCTCAATATAACTAGTGGAAAGACTTCCATTTCTCATAAGCAAGAGGAATAGCAAATGAAGCTCACAGACTTCTAAATGCCTAAATACAGATATTAAAAAGGAGAGGGATAGGAGGTTAAAAAAGAGAGAGAGAAAGCACAAAACTCAATGTGGTAATTAAAACTACGAAAGGCCTACAATATAACACTTCATTGCATTATGGTCTCAGTCACCCCCATTTTTCGAAGACTAAAAACTAGCCTCCCAAGGCTACTATTTTTTAAACACGAGTTACAGATTAAAGTTTGATTATCTAATAGTATCATGTTCCAATATACTAAAAGGTGGTGATAATGAGAACTGTAAATCACTTAATCCCCCCTGATTTACCCAAAAAAAAGACTTGTAATTCACTAAAAACTTATTAAACGCAAAAGATACAAACCTTCAATTGGTTGAAGAGAGCAGTTGAATCCATCTCTCAAGGAAAAAGCTGCATTGAAAAAATTGTTAATATGGAATTGCATAAATATCAAACTATATTGATTGGCGAATAAAAAATCTGTAAAAAAAATATTGAGATTGAATTTGATACAACGAATATGAATTTGAAACTGCTTTCTAGAGAATAAAACAAATAATATATATATATATATATATATATATATATATAATTATGTGTATGTGTTGTTTTTGCACATTGGGATTGATCCCGAATTAGCTTTACATTGACACATTGATCAGAACAGATAGCAGTTTGTCCCATGCAATGTGGAAAAACAAGGAACTGGTCAGGACTCGCTAAGATCCCAAGCCTACGTCAGTTTTGACGGACTTGACTGAGTTTGTAAGAGGACACCCCAGTCCGAACAAAGAATATTATAATAAAACATTGGGAACTCCTGTGGTTCCCATGGATTTGATTCCGGACTCAGCAGCCTGCTGAGTCCAACTAACACAGCGAGTCTGAGTCTGAATCAGACTCACCAGGTTTTCCCACACTGATCCCATGGTGCCAGTATTCTGCTTGAAAAAATATAGTAATTTATCAGCAATATAGTCTAAAATGGTGGAAAAAATTCTAGATTAAACAGAAAAGCATAATCATGAGCACTAAACAGTCAAATAAATCAGCTGAATGGAAAAGTGCATTTAAATTTGCAAGAAAAAAGACAAAAATCCCAGGGAAAAAAAAAAGGAATCAGAGAAAAGTATAATTCATGTAATTTGTCCGTGCCAAAGATAAATTATTAAGATGTTACCACTTAATCACTTATTAAAATTCGAACTATCACAATTTTACATCAATTGATCAAAATAATCAGGCATATCGAGTAGCTCGTAGGATTCTTAAGTTGTCCATTAAGCTTTTCAGGCTCCTAAAAATTAAGAACTAATTTCTCAAAAAACTAAAGATAATTTGGGAAAAATAAAATAAAGAACAGGAAGATAGCCTGTTTACAGAAGGTGAAGTTAAAGCCACATCAGATCAAAGGTAAACTAAAATTATATAAAATCAAAGGTGCAGAATTTTCAACTCTGTAAAGGAAGATAGAGACAGAGAGAGAGAGAGCTTAAAATGTTAAGAACGAGATCAATGGCGCAAAAAACTCACGAGATAGAGAGACAATGTAGCTCTTCCTATTCTGGATAGAGAGTACGACGGAGAAAATGTACCTCTTCCTACTCTAGAGAGAGAGACTGGCTATGGCCGTATAGCTCTTCCAGCAGTGCTTAGGGTTGTAAATTACAGAGACAAATGTAGAGAGGGAGAGAGAATGTAGAGAGAGAAAATATATATTTTCGGTGAAGCCATAGAGAGAGAGCATAAAGAGAGACTGACGATGGAGCGTTTCCTTCTCTTGATCTGGTGATGTCGCTGTGCTGTGTTAAAAGTTAGAGAAATAAAAGTAAAGAAAGAAAGAAGAGATAATAGAGAGAAAAAAAAGAGAGAGAGAAAGAGGAGAGTATATAGAGAGAGAAAATAGATGGAGGGGGGGAAGCGGGAAATGTGCAGGACATTTGCAGGCGAGCTTTTACCGCGAAAGTTACCGTGAAAAATCAGTTTATTTGAGACTATTGGAAAAATCATTTAGGCAAAAAGATATTTTACTCTCTCGTATGTATAATATCTATTTACTCCCTCAATTAAAACTTTTAGGATTCTAAATTTTAAGGATGTAATTTCTTCAATCCATAGATTAATCTCAATCAAATATTTTCTTTAACTGTACCCTCTCTGCATTTGAAAAAAAATAAAGTATACCAACCAATTTATATATGGTGAGATCTAAATTTTAGAAAACTCAAATTTCCAAAAAAAAATCGACAAGATCTACTAATCCTTAAGTGGTTCTCAAACTTTCATATTGAAAAAAAATCTCCCAAGCAAATTTTTTGACCTAAGGAGTAGAAGTAAACTATGCTCTTGAAGAAGCAAAATAGACATGCTCTTAAATTAGAGTATCATGAGATAGAAATAGTCGATAGACCTCAAATTCACTAAGGTGGTCGAAATCCATGTTCGAAACAACGACTCAAGTTGGGTACTCAACCAATGCCCTAGCCAAGTACTTGTCCTGAGTTCAAGTGACTCGGATATAGTAGCGAGTTTTGTTCAAGTGACTCGGATATAGTAGCGAGTTTTGGGCAAGCTACAGTGTGTTTTAAAACTAAAAAATCTCAAAAATAGGGAAAATATGTTTAAAGTAAAAATATTTTAAAAAACGTTAAAAAAGTAATGAAATCTTGATTTTGAAGCAATCAACTCATGATGAGGGTATTTAGAAATAATTTTAAAAATAAGAATAAATATAAAAATAAGCATTCACGGCCAAAAGTCCAAAAGACTTTCTAATATTG